CCCCTACTCGCGCCCCATGCTCCCAGGCCCTGCCCGCGGCCCGCCGCAGCAGGACTGGCGCTGGGCCGTCGGCGCGACACCCTTTGGCGCCTACTCCAACTACTCGGGCATCTCCCAGATCACGCAGAACGTCGCGCGCCGCAATCTGCTGCTGGCGCACACCGCAGCGGCGCTGCGCGAGGTGCAGCGCCGCCTGGACGCGGTCGACGAGTTCGTGGCCGACCACTTCGAGGGCCCCTGGGCCGCGGCGGGCGTGACTAACGGGAAGATCCCGGGACGGCGGCACTTCCTGGACACCGTGGTCGAGTGAGTCGACCGCTGCGCCTCCTCCTCCACCCCCAGCCCGCCCCTCTCCCTCGCCATCCCGCACCTCCGCTGCTGTCACTTTATGGAAATTGCGGCTGCTGCCGACATTTCTGTTCAGAGGGCTCGGGGGCGTTGTCGTGGTTGGGGGCCCCGGGTCATCTGCCATTTGCTTGACCAAGCAGCTCCCGGTCCTGAGGCACCCTCCCGCCCCTGCCCTCTTCCCGAGCCCAACAGCAGCAGCCCCGCTTACAAGCACGACGTGGCGGCTCCTTGCTCTGCCCTTGCGCCCCATCCCCGCCCACCAGCTCTCCGCTCGCACGTGCTCACGCGTGCGCGTGCACTCTCAACCACCCTCTTTCGCTCGATCCCCACCCCCCAGCACGCGGCACGGCTACAAGACGGCGCTGACCCCGGACCAGGTGGCTGCGCTGGAGCACCACATGGCGGCGCTGACGGGGCAGCTGGAGGCCGTGTCCATGGACCTCTTCTCGGTGGGGCCCGCCCTCTGGCCGCGCGCACAATTGTGTTTGTGTTTGGGAGGGGTGGGGCGGGTGTTAACAGGATAGCTTAAAAGAGAGAGTGCGAGTGTGGGCACGGGTGTGAGCGCGCGCATTTGCTGGGGAGTGTTTGTTGAGTGAATTTGCGTGTGCAGGTGTGCGCCCAGGCACATGGCGGCTTGTGTCATGTACACGTGTGGAGTTGTGTGAGTATGCATGCAGTGTGCACGAGTGATTAGTGCAGCTTGCTGTGGTGGCTTTGTGGATGACTGTGAGTGCTGATCTTACGCCTGGGAGGCGTGCTAGAGGGCATGCTGCTGCCATGTCAGCGTATGCTGCCTGCGCCGATTGGGATGGTCTGGGACGTTTGGGTCCTTTCGGGTAGGGGCGCATTGCCCCTGGAGTCCTCTGGGCAATTGGTCGCTGCAGCCCAGTTGACTCACATCAGCCGTATGAAATCCTACCCCAAACCCCCTCTCACACACACACACACACACACAAACACACACACACACAAACACACACACACACATGCACACTCACATCACGCACCCAAGAAACCCCACACACCCCACACTTCACATACATGCCCACGGCTCTCCTGCCACACACCACTCGCACAACCCCGCAGCACGACTTCGCGTCGGCCGACACCGCGCTCAACGGGAAGCTGCTGCCCACAGCCGCGCGCCTGTGCGAGGGCCTGGACCAGGCGCTCGACGAGGCGCGCGGCGTCGTGGCCTGCTGCGGCGTCCGCCACGTCAGCGGGCTCGGCCGCGCCTTTGTCTACGCCATCGCCACGGCCGTGGCATTCACGGTCGTGTTTGTGGGCGCAATGCTGCTGGCTGTGGCGAGCGGGCGGAAGCGGCGCAGCCTGGGGGACTTGGGGCTGCCCACCTACGGCATGACGCCCTACAACAGCCGCCCCAGCAGCGTGCTCGGGTCGTTCAGCCGGCCCAGCAGCCGGTCGCAGAATTACCACCTCTAGCGGCGCATGTTGCCCGCATTCGCTTCCGCGTGTGTTTTTAGTTTGCGCCCGTGGTGCACCTCCTTTCAGTCTTTTCTTGTTTTGTGTTGGGCGGTCGAACGGTTGCAAATCCCGTTGACAACAATTTCTTGTCCTTGCTTTGTCCCTGACGTTCTGTAAACTGATTCCTTTTTCGACAGCGTGTCAGCGTTGCGTGGGGAACTGTGGGTTGCGTCCGGGGATTGTGGGGCGGATTGAGCTGACACAGCCAGAGAGGTGCTGGCCACTGGCCAGATAGAAAAGGTTCAGATATAAATCCATCCCATGATTCCAGATTCAAGGGTAACACAAACAGCATGCACATGGGGGTGGGTAGGCGTGGGCGGGAAAACGTTGACTGCAAGGTCACCGGTGCAATTTGACCGGCTGTTGACAGAGCATCCATTGCGCAGCAGAGGCAATGCTCGCATGGTATACCTGCTTGATGAGTCGTCAGGGGTAGCAAAGTGCTGCTTGGAGGTGACGTCGCAGCCCTGCCCGGCAAACAGTACGCTGAGACACGGCATATGGCCGACGAGCCAGATAGAGCGGGGGAGCGGGAGCTGCACTGCGCGGGACTTCAGCTCATCCTGATGAGAACGGTGCAGTAGCGAAGGATATCAATGGAGGTATCATACAATGTCATGTTTCGTGTATATACACACTCAGCGACGATCTGCAATTTTATGCCATGCATGCCTCTGATATCCAAACCGTTCATTTAAAATCAGCGTTCCATTGACTCCGTCGCGGCCGGGAAGTGCCAGAGGCACCGTGTGCAGCTGTAGCCACACGGCAGAGCGCGGCTGAGGCCCAGCAGCGCAAGCGCCGGGTCCTCCAGCAGCGAGCCGCCATGGCGGCACGCTTAGGGCTGGCCCGCCTGATTCAGGACAACCTGCGGCTCATCCGGCAGCGGCAAAAGTTGTCTGACGACGAGCCGTTTGTCACGTTGCAGGCACGCGGAGCGGCTCCAGGCGCTCCAGGGTTGTACTGGCTGGGGCAACTAGACAGGATGGATCACTCGCTCATGTGCCTCAGAGCTTCCCGACGGGCACAAAAGGTTGCGATGAGAGTGGCAAATAGGAAGAGCCCAGGACGCCGTCAGCGGCAGCGCAGTGGCTTTGTCAACCGGCCCCCAGGCACACGGCGCCCGGACGCTCGCCGGACGCCCCTGCCCGCGCGCGCCTCGCAGGTGGGCAAGCGCGTGTTTGAGGGCGCGCCGCGGCAGATGCGCGTGGAGCTCTGGAAGAGCAGCCTGCAGCGGCGGGGCGTGGGCGTGGCGGCGGCCAAGAGCTTTGAGCACCTGCTGGAGGTGGAGGTGAGTTTGAGGTGCGGGCCTTTTTGGTGCAGAGGGCAGGGTGCTGATCAGCTGCTTTGCGGTCGAAAGGGCACATGACTGGTAGTGCGTGTGTGCCCAGTGGTGGTGCTGCAACGTTGCGGGTTGGTTTGGCGGGTGGATCATGAAAGGGGAGTCATCGAGGCCGGCAGTGGGCTTTCGGGGCCCTGAACAAAAGCGCCCAAGTTTCATCAGAACACACTGCACGATATCAACACATGCACACGCCTTAGCGCTTGCGCGCGTGCGCCGCGCCTGCCCACACACACTTGCACACGCGCGTGCAAGTGCACACGCACCTTTGCCTCCGACCCATCGTCACCCCAGGTGGGCGACGAGGCCGGCGCCGACATCGACAAAGACCTGGCGCGCACCTTCCCCACCACGCGGCGTTTCGCCGGCTCTGAGGGCCAGGCGGCGCTGCGGCGCGTGCTGCGCGCGTATGCCGCCCTCGACCCGGTGCGGCCTCGTGGGGAGAGCGAGGAGGGGGCCGGCTTGCGGGGTTGAGGAGTTTGGAGGTTGCTGCGCAACAAATGGCACCTGCCCTGCCATGCTGCATGCTCATGATCGGGGCTGCATGCAGGCATCAAGACTTGAGGGGCACGCATGGCGTGTGCATTCGCACGCGCGCTTCCATTGGTCAAGAGGCGCTGCTGCCTTCCCGTTGACCGACAGTGATGCTCCGTCCTCCCAGCACGCGCTCCTGCACCACCCCCGACCCCACCCCACTCCCCTGCCGCGCACCCCGCTGCCCCCTCTGTGACCATGCACCTGCCAACGCCCCTAGGAGGTGGGCTACTGCCAGGGCATGAACTTTGTGGGCGCGCTGCTGCTGTCGTATCTGCCCGAGGCCGAGGCCTTTGGCGCGCTGGTCGTGCTGATGCAGGACAGAGGGCTGCGGCGGTACTACTCCACTGACATGGCGCTGCTGCAGGTGGGGCGGGGTCGCCAGGGTGCGGTGCGCCTAGTGGGTTGGGGGTGTTCCATGCTGGCACTGGATTGTTTGGGCTGTGGCGTGAGCAGATTATGGTTTTAGGGCGCGGCTCTTGTGGTGTGGTTGCTGTGTTGAGGCCGTTGTGACCCATTAGAAGGATGGCCGCGGCACGCGTATGCGAGACCAGCCGCGCCACTCTGTGGAGCGTCCAGCATTGGCTGAGGCCCGCGATCCCCCGCCGGCACCCCTCGGCTCGGCAGGCGCACTTCTGGCAGCTGGGGCGCCTCATGCCGCCGCAGCTGTGCGCGCGCCTGGAGGGGGTGGGGGTCACGCCGTCGCTGTACGCGGCGTCGTGGCTGATGACCTGTTACTCCGCAGACTTCCCGCTGTCGTTCTCGGCGCGGTGAGGCGGGCGCCGGGGCCGGGACCGTCCGGTGCCCCTGGCGCGTGGTGCCGCGCCTTTTGCTGTCGTACCTCAGTTCCCTGCACCTCCGTGCCCAGCGCCCGCACCCCCGTTGACACCCCTCCTCCCCAGCATTCCTCATCCCTCACCGCCCCCGACCCCCCATCTCCCTGC